GAGGTGTAGAATGTGAATTGGCTCTTCATCCTGGAGAAGAGAAGGTTCCTGAGAGATGTCACAGCAGTCTTCCAGTACCTAAAGGGGCCTGCAAGAGAGCTGGAGAGGGACTCTTTACAAGGGCATGTAGTGACACTGTCTTTTTAAAAGAGAGCAAGTTTAGATTAGATATTACGAAGAAATTCTGCCCTGTGAGAGTGGTGAGACATTGGAACAGGTTGCCCTGAGAAGTTGTGGATGCACCATCCCTGGAAGCATTCCAGGACAGATTGGATAGGGCTTTGAGCAACCTGGTCTAGTAAAGGTGTCTCTGCCCATGGCAAGGGGGTTGAACTAGATGATCTTTAAGGTTTCTTCCAACCCAAACCATTCTGTGATTCTCTGAAGTCACAGCAGATGTCCAGCCCTTGGCACAGACATCAGTGTGTGGTGCCTCTCTCAGGTGCCTCTCTCACCCGCTTTGACAGCCTGTGGAGGGCAGGGGCTCCCTGCCCACAAGGACACACAGTCCAGCACTGCGAGTGCATGGCAGAGTGAATGGAGCTACGTGGCACACAGGTACCTGTCACTCCAGAGGTTTGTTCTTTCTGTACCCTTACTGAAGTGTTCTTGCAACAGATTTTCACTAGCTAACTCTACATTGTTGATAAGATTGGCTCAGATAAAGAAAGATATAATACAGTCTGGAGAACTAAAACAACTATTTACAGCGTCTGGCAGGTGCTCTTCAAACTGTTGCCTCTTAAGGACATCAGGTCTTTTATTGCTGCCTGATGGGTCTGTGATATGTAATCATTTTGCTATGTCCACTGAACTATACAACTTTTTGTTTTTTTTTTCTCCCACCAGATGAATCCCATCAATTAATTACTTTTCCTGAAGATATTTTGCCAACATAAGGTTTATTGTGTCCATATTGGCAGAACACATAAGAGTTTTCAAAACCCAATTTGTTATTGTTGGTGCTACGTTACTTAAACCACAAATGGATCACGATCCATGCTACGAGTAGTTAATGGGTCTGCTCTCAGTTGTCTGACATCTGGAGAGATGATTTTCATATTACTGAGCCAAGTGTGTGAAGCATTCCCTTTTCCCCAGAGCTATTTCTTAAAGAAATGGAAGCACAATTTCAGGCTGGCATTGGGCAGCAGCAAATGCAGTCGAAGCAGAATTCTGTGGACAGAGAGCGCCATCTCCAGCTACTAAATCATAATTTCTCAGAGGTAACAAACCAATTAATTTGGAATTTCTCCTTTGGAATTGCCATCTGTTCTGGAAAAGATGGAGAAAAAGCCAGCTGAGACTGATGAAAGATTGAGATTTAAGCCTTAACACTGTCTTAATATCCTGTAGGGAGACTTTGCTAATCCTTGCTAAAGTTTCTGAGTTAAATGAAAAAGCTGCTTAAAATTGCATGGGGATAAGCATCCCAAATTTGTTTCTTTTTTTCAGGCTGCTTAGTAAAGAATAAAATCATGATAGAGCTAAAATTTGTACTAAATTAGTGTCCTCCAGCCTACAGAAAGTCTATGTTTCTAATATTCCACATGATGCATTTGATAAGTACTTGAAAAAGCTCATAAATAATACCTCTAGTACTACATCAGAAAAACCAGGTAGCAAACCAGCGTCAATAAGCAATATGCAAAAACAGCACACAAAGTGGATGCAGAAGAATTATATACATGCAAATGTTACAAAACTGACAAATATTAAAAAATACACAACATAAATATTACATAAATACATTTTATATAAAGACAAATATTACAAAATACTAAAAATATTACAATTTTTACAAAATCACAAAAATTATATAAATACCTATACAAAAGAATTACAATGGGTGTATTAAGTGTATTATTTTCTGTACATTTTATCCCATGTAAATGGTACATATGTCAGGGTATACGTTTAAAGAAATAAGTGTTGCAAAAATAAGTCAAGATGTTATTTGTAGCTGATGCCCAGAAATTCTTCTCCACCACAATGTCAAATGATGTTGTTGCCATCCTGTCGCCCATCAGTTTTCTGTACTTCCCAACACCATGGGAAACCTTGGGTCTTCAGAGCATTCACAGCTCCAAAGGGTTCAAATCGAGCAGAGATATTAAGTGCATTAGAAAATCAATCTGTGAATGAGAGTATGCTGCTTTTGATAGTGTTTTCTGAACTAAATGGAGAGCTGAGATCAGTGCCTGTGAATCCAGCCTCATTAATGTCTCACAAGAGTTTGTTCTAGAAACCTATCTTAAGGACACCAGTGGCAAAGAATTTGTCACACAATAAAACTGAAAATCATGCCTCCTCGTGTGTGCTGTAGAAGACTCATCCATATTAAAGAATTATTAATGGATTTGCAAAAGCAAATGGATTTAAAAGGCTACGAATACTAAATATATACATTGAATAGATACATTCAAAAAGCGTTAAAAGACAAAGCAGCCTTAATACGCTCCTAAACTCGATACAGCATCTTATTTAAAATGCAAATTATTAACTTACTCTGTATTATTTTCATGACTGAGTTCAGAAGGCATTTTTTTCAGCTGTTAAAGAAACAATAAAGATTCTGTTTGCAGCCCCAAAAAGAAAGTTGATGAAGCTCTATTAGAGAGACCTGTACAGATCACAAAGGCAATCAAGAACAGCTGGCATTGATTTATGAAGAAAAAAACACACTTAGTCAACCTGATTGCACCCTATAATGGAACGGCTGGTTACATGGACAAGGATGGAGGAGTGGGCACAACAGATCCTGACTTCAGTACAGGGATTGGAATGATTTCCTGCAGTACTTTCACTCACAAACTGAGGAAATATGGCATGAACAAGCTGTTTGCTAGATGCATTGAAAACTGCCTAGGCTGACGGGCTCAGTGGGTGGCAACTGGTGGCTTGGTAATGTGCCTGAAGGCCCATAGCACGTTCAGTACTTTAGGGGTTGATACTAGGGTGTATATAGTGCATTGTCTTCACCAAAAATGTGGACCACAGGACAGGATGCACTCTCTGGCTATTTCAAGGTAACAATAAATTAGGAGGGATGGTTGACACACTAAACAGTAAAGCTTAAGTTCTGAGAGACTTTGAGAATCTTCAGGACTGGGCTGACAGAAGCCTTAACACGTTCAACATGGAGAAACACAAGGATAAATGCTCAATCCTGGACCTAAGGCCGAATAAGCCCTTCCATTGGTACGAGCTGGGAAGAAACAGGCTGGCTATCAGCTTCATCGAAAATGACAGGGGGTTATGTGAAAGCTGAGTCCAACACAAGCATATAGTGTGCTCTCATCCCAAAGATGGGAAATCACACAGTAGCCTACATTAGGAGTATGGCCAACAGGCTGAGGAAAGTTACTGTCCCCCTTTGCTTGGTGTTGGTGAGGTGCTGGCTGGACACAGGGCCCAGTTTGGTGCTTCCTCAGATCAAGACAGGGCAGCTCCACTGAACACTATCAAGACAATCAGGATCTAAATCACATCATCTTGAAGGAGATGTTGAGGTATACTGGGACTGTCTTGCCTGTTGAAGAGTGTTGGGGGTCATATAACAGCAACATTCAATTACTTGAAGGGGGATTGCAAATATGGCAGAGCTAAACTTCCCTTGGTAGTGATATGCATTACAACAGGAAACCATGGGCACAAGTGGCTCAGAAGGTCCAAAGAAGACATTATGAAACAAATTATTTACATGGAAGGTAGTTAACCTGGACAAGCTATGTAATTTTTTATTTTGGATGGTTTCAAGAGCTGTCAAGACAAAACTGCAACAGATGTGATTCACTTCAAGTAGGGAAGCTGGACTGCAATACCAGAAGTCCTTTACAACCTTTATGATTGCGCACAGGTGTAAAGGTGATGACTTTCCTGGTCTAGGATTCTTGTTTATTGTTGGAAGACTTAAAACAGTCACCAAAATAGTGTCTGGACTTTATTATTAATTTATGATTTTAGGCATATGCATGAGCAAAAATAAAAATACTCTGCCATCTGTTGATATCTGCCAAACTGCAGAGGTTGTTTTCTGAAAAAAGACTATTTCATCACCACATTTAAACTGTTACTTGCTATCACAGTCGGCAATATAAAAATAGCAAAGAAATGCAAGGTATTTTGAAAATCCACCAACTGTCAAGTGATTCAGTGTGTTATTTATTCAACTTGTAAAAGTGGTGGAAGTGCCTGTAGCCAGACTCTGTGAGTCCCCAGAATAATTTAAAACTCCTTAGCAACCCTGATAACTAACCTGTCTTCTGTTAATAATATACATGAGTTTGCAATATCTACTTTTCGCTCTTTTTTTAAAGTATGGTAAAGGTCACCGAGATGCTCAGTTTGAGTTATTCCTGCCTTCGAGACTGCCTTTCCCTCCTCCCCGCTGCACCCTGGGACAAGAAAGGACAGGCCGCCCACCTCCCTTCCCCTTTCACGACCCGTGAGCAGCCCAGCTTCTCTTGCTGTTTTCCCGTTGCAATCGCAGTCCGAAGCATTCTTTTTTTATGCATCCCCGAGGAGGCAGAGCTTCGGGAACGCTGTTCCGCCGCACACCCGGCACCCCGCAGACA